TGCCCTCAGCAGAGTGCTGTAGCGTCACAGCTCACAGCAACCTCAAACTCTTGGGCTTAAGTGATTCTCTTGCCTCAGCCTCCCAAGTAGCTGGAGCCCGCTACAATGCCTAGATACTTTTGTTGTTGTTGTTGCAGTTGTTGTTTGGCAGGCCCGGGCTGGGTTTGAACCCACCAGCCCTGGTATACATGGCCAGTGCCCTCACCACTGAGCTACAGGTGCTGAGCCAAGATTCAGAGTTTCAGATGATCCTCCAGATCAGTGTTTTTCAAACTTTTCAACCTCACGGCCCACTTGAACCTATAGTTAAACTTTCGTGGCACACTTCAATTATGTTGATTAAAAAAAGAGTAAAGAAAAAGAATATACTTAATGTGCTTTGAACTTCTTTTGAAAATAATTTAATTAATGATCTTTAAAAATTTTCACGGCACACCTAAGATTCTCTCATGGTACTTAATGTGCTTTGAACGTCTTTTGAAAATAATTTAATTACTGATCTTTAAAAATTGTCACGGCACACCTAAGATCCTCTCATGGCACTGTAAGATCACTGCTCTAGATGACTATTAGACATCCGTGACCTTAAGCACATCTTGATTTGAGTTAGGGAAGAAAATGTAGATTCACAGCAATAAGTTGTGGAAAAGCAAGAAAGCATTTTTCAGACATGTTTTCCAAAGGCCTGGGTATTCGACTGCATTTTTGCATATTTCAATGGTGCTTTCTGCAATGCAGCATTATGTACCTCTCCCTCGAATTTAAGATATTGTGGTCCTTATGAGTGTTATAATGCTGATGAGCACTGAGTTTCTTTAATCTTGATACTGCAGTATCACAAAGCAAGCAAATCATCTCATCTTTAGCAGAAACAAGATAATATTGCAATTCCCCATCCTCACTGAAAAGTCTGCCTTCTTCCTTCAGTGTTCTTCTCCGATATGATTGGCTGTTGAGCAGACAGAATTAAAAATACCACCCAGCTGTGAAGCTATTCACAAATTCCACTTCAAGCAGAAGAACAGTACGCCATTGTCAGAAGCTGATAATAGGCTGGCATATTCACCCCCATAAACTCTCAGCAACCAGCCTAGTGCAGTTGCAGCACTAGTCAGGTGGGGGAAGGGAGAACTAAATCCTGAGCGCAGCAGCCCTCAATTCAGCCCTTGTGGCTTACTAATGTTCTAATTGTGCTGGTCAATCTGGAGGATTATTTTGCTGAAACTTATTTTATTCTTTGGTATTTTTAATACATTTATTTTAAAATTAAAATTAAAATATAAAAGGCAAAAAATGTATTAGTAAAAATAAAAGGATTTTTTTTTTTTTTTGCAGTTTTTGGGCGGGGCTGGGTTTGAACCTGCCACCTCTGGCATATGGGGCCGGTGCCCCACTCATTTGAGTCACAGGTACCGCCCAAATAAAAGGATTTTTTTTTCTGTAAAATTTGGATTCAGTCAAAAGGCCACAGTTAAGAACCTAGAAGGTAAAATGTGGCCTTCAGGCCATTCAGGTCTTTTGTAATTCCATACAAATATACAGGTTTTAGGGCTGATTTCTCTATTTCTGTGAAAAATGAATACCATTTGGGTTTTGATCAGGATTGCACTGAGTCTATATATCACTTTAAGTAGTTTAGACAGTTTAGCAATATGAATCCTTCTCATCTGTACGCACGGAATATCTCCATTCGTGTCCTCTTAAGTTTCTTTCAACAGTGTATTATAGTTTCCAGCGTACAGGTTTTTCAAGTCCTTGGTTAAATTTATTCCTAAGTATTTTCTTCTGATGCTATCAGAAAAGGGATTTTCTTGATTCCTGTTTCAGCTAGATCATTTTTTGTGTATAGAATCTGTATGTTGATTTTGTATCCTGCAGCTTTACTGAATTCATTTATTAGATCCGACAGTTTCTGGTGACAGCTTTGAGGGTTTCTACATGTTGTCTGCAAACAGAGATATTTTTACTTTTTCCTTTCTTATTTAGAAAACGTTTATTTCTTTTTCTTGTCTAATTACTCTTAGCAGTACTTCCAATTCTATGTTGAATAGAAGCGGTGAGAGTAGACACCCTTGCCGTGTACCAGATGGTAGAGGAAAAGTTTCCACTTTCTCCCATTGATTATAACGTTAGTCGTGAGTTTTTTAATAAATGACCTTTACTGTGTTGAGGATCTTTTTCCTCTATATCTATGCCATTAAGGATTTGGGGATTTTTAAATTAATTTTTAATTAAAATCACTAACTGTAGACATTTATGGGGTACAATGTGATGATTTGATATACAATGTGGAATGCTTAAATCAAACAGATTAACATAGCCATCACCTCACTTATTTTTTGTGGTAAGACATTTAAAACTTACTTAGTTATTTTGAAATATATCCTTGCATTGTGCACATTAGATGAGATCCCACCAAGGGCCCCCCTCCTCCTACCAATTGCCCTCCCCCTTCCTCTTGCTTCTCTCTCCTCATCCCTGTCCCTTGCTAGACTATATTTGTGTCTTAGCATTTATAGGAGTGTGTAAGTGTTTATATATTGGTTTCATAATATTATTGAGTGCATTGGATACTTTCTTTCCCATTCTTGAAATACTGTATTGAGAAGAATGTGTTCCAACTCCATCTAGGTAAACATAAAAGATGTAAAGTCTCCATCTTTTTAGGGCTGAATAGTATTCCATGGTACACATATACCATAATTTGTTAATCCATTCATGGGTTGATGGGCACTGGGTTGCTTCCACAACTTGGCAATGGTGAATTGGGCCATGGTGTCACAGCTCACAGCAACCTCCAACTCTTGGGCTTAAACAATTCTCTTGCCTTAGCTTCCCAAGTAGCTGGGACTACAGGTGCTAGCCACAATGCCTAGCTATTTTTTTGTGACAGTTGTCATTGTTGTTTAGCTAGTCCCAACCAGGTTCAAACCTGCCAGCCTCGGTGTATGTGGCTGATGCCATAACCACTGTGCTATGGGTGCTGAGCCTGAGATCTTTTTTTTTTTTTTTTTTTGCAGTTTTTGGCTGGGGTTGGGTTTGAACCCACCACCTCCGGTATATGGGGCTGGCGCCCTACTCCTTTGAGCCACAGGTGCCTCCCAGGATCTTCTTTTTTAATGAAGGCAATTATTACTATAGATGTCCCTCTTGGAACTGTATCAGCTACTCGTATTTCATCTTCTGTGTTCTTCTGCATGGATTCATGAAAATGAATCTTCCTTTGTTATTGACCACATATTTCCTCCTTATAGGAGCTCTCAGCTGCGAGTGCATGGAGGGGAAGCACCAACACGTGTGAAGGATTCCAGCGATCAACTCTGGTTTCTGCACAGACCTGGCTAAGTAATCAACTTTGGTTCTTCTCCAGACCTGGCTAAGCTGCTTCCTATTGTCTCCTCATACGATAGTGCTGGGAAGGTCAGCCCCCAAGGAACTATTTTTCTTGCCGTGGGTTTCCCTGTCCTTTTCCTGCTGACTAAGAAGAATGGTCACTGCAGCAGCTGTGGACCAGAGGTGGCAGCTTTGTACTGAAGAGATCATAGATTCAATTCCTTTTGAACTAAACATCAGGCTCACCCAGGAAGCAGATTCCTAAGCCCAATCCCCCTAAATTCTGATGGAGTTGAATGGGACACAGGAATCTGTACTGTTGAGTAACTCTTCATGGTGATTCTAATGTGCAGCCTGCTGTGTCTGGAATCACAGCCTTCCCCTCTGCCTTCATTGCCCATTGTCCTTGGGCTCCTGCCCTCACCTCACAGTTGATGCTACTCTTGCAAATGTCCCGTAATGGCCTCCCAGGGAAGAGTCTGGTAGAGTCTTGGGCTCCTTTGAGTCTCCAGAACATATGACACAGATAAAAATGCTTCCCATTTTTATACCCTCTCCTGCCTTGGTTTTTGGGCCACCACTGCAGGTGGCTCCTGACTGCCCCTTAGCTTTCTTTTAAATCAGTGGTTCTCAACCTTCCTAATGCCGCGGCCCTTTAATACAGTTCCTGTGGGTCGTGACCCACAGGTTGAGGACCACTGTTTTAAATGCTAAAATGCCTGCACATTCTATGTAGTCTTCTCTTCTTCACTTTCTCTGTGAGCTCATCCATAAGCAAAATTTTAATTGACATATCTATCTATGCTCAGGGGTTTCAGTTTTCACTTCCAGCCCTCTATATTCCCTATACCTCACCTCTCTACTAGACATTTCCATGTGGGGTTCACAGTCGAGACTGCTATCTGGCCCCTAGTTGCCTTCTCTCCTTGTTCTGTTTAGTAATAGAGCTTCTGAGTTTTACCCAGGCATGTGGCTGTCAAGCTATGAAGTCTATTTTCCAGCCTCTCTCCATCCATGAGCCAGTGGATGCAAAGGGAAGTGATATGTGCAACTCTGGGTTGCCTCCTTAAAGACAAAGCTTCTAGGCTCGGCGCCTGTGGCTCAAGCGGCTAAGGCGCCAGCCACATACACCTAAGGTGGCGGGTTCGAATCCCCAGCCCGGGCCCGCCAAACAACAATGATGGCTGCAACCAAAAAAAAAATGGCCAGGCGTTGTGACGGGCGCCTGTAGTCCCAGCTACTTGGGAGGCTGAGGCAGGAAACTCGCTTGAGCCCAGGAGTTGGAGGTTGCTGTGAGCGTGATGCCATGGCACTCTACCCAGGGGGACAGCTTGAGGCTCCGTCTCAAAAATAAAAAAAAATAAAAAAAATAAAAAAGACAAAGCTTCTAAACATCTCATTTATTTAAAACTCTGAATATTGGGGTCTTTTTGTTATGTCACTCCATAAGCATCTCAAACTAAAAAATCCTCTTCTCCCCTCAGGTTAGCTAAGATGAGCTAGTGGACTCCCCACCACCCCTTTTAACAGTAAATAGCTGGGGACAAATAAGTGAGGTCCAAACAGGAGGCTGAACATGTGGCTGCAGGTGCCTGCCTGAATCGGAGTCACCCTTGACTGAACAAAGGTGTGTAGAAACTTTGAAGCCAGTTTATCCAAAGTGTCTCTGGCCATTTGTCAAACGTACCTGCTCTTGGTGGAGCTGACCACAGACATGGGATGGTTGACGTCATCCTTCACCACCATGATGTTGTTCTGAGGGTAGAGCAGAGAAAGGAGGGTTCCAGTTTCTCACACCAAGCTCTTCTTGTTCCCTCATCCCCCCAGTCCTAGGGAGACCCTCCCAGAACTCCCAGGAAAGGGTCACATCACAGAGATACCCCAGTAAGGAGACAGAGGACGCACTTTGTACTTGCGGAGTATGGAGGAGTGATTCATGATTCGGTCTGTGTCGGCTGCATCCCGTGGCACCACCACAATCCCAAAGTCCCCAACAATCACCTCCATCTGAAGAAATGGAGAGAGTTCTTTAGTGACACCATGACCATGAACTCTTGCCCAGTGAGTCTATAGCAGTCTGGAGCCACTTTCTTCTTCCACATGGAACCCCCAGCTTTAGTGCCAAACTTGCCTTCTCAGCCCCATTATAAAAAGCCCCTTCAAGTGACAGCCCATAGCTGTGTTAGTTAGAAGGGGTGAAAATTTATCCTGGCACATAGAAGACACTTAAATCCTCTACGCTGGATGAATGAATGTACTCTTGAATGTCTGGGGAAGATCTCTCCAATTCCTGAGGCTCCTGTTAAGCTCATAATGCTCCAGAACTTCTTGAACGACATATGGCCCTTACCTGGTACATACTCTCATGGCCAAAACAGATCCCTCTGTCCAGCAAGCCTACCCCAGCCCTCAGTGGAACGTCATGAGAGGGACTACAATGTTACCCTGGCTCACCCATGGGAAAGCAGCTATTGGACTCAAAGGTAGCCAAGAGCAGAGAAGCACTCAGACGGCACCACTATGTTCCCAGGCAGTGATAGGATGATGAGGAAGAGGACTGGGGTCACTTCTGAGATCAGCCTGTGATAGAAGCTTGGTGCCATAATGAGGAACAAAACTTTTTATTGTTTAAAAAAATGCTTTTCTTTCCTTTTCCTGATGAGAGATGTAATATAAGCTTGGAAAATTCAGGGAAAAAATAGAAAGCCATCATAACCACTGAATCCAGGTAACCACGATGAAGATTTTTCTCTCTCCAAATAAGAGAGAGAAAATACTCTGTTTATGTCCGATTGGATTAAACTGCATAATTGGTGATTTTACCTGCATTTTTTAAAATTGTACTGTGAGCATTTTCTCATATCATTAAAAATTATTTGAAAATATAATTTTTGCTGGGCATAGTGGTGCACGCTTATAATCCTAACACTCTAGGAGGCCAAGGCAGGTGGATTGCCTGAACTCAGGAGTTTGAGACCAACCTGATGAGAGCAAGACCAGCTTTCTACTAAAAATAGAAAAACTAGTGTTGCATTGTGAAGGGTGCCTGTAATCCCAGCTACTCGGGAGGCTGAGGCAAGAGGATTGCTTGAGCCCAAGAGGCGGAGGTTGCTATGATCTAGGCTGATGTTATGGCACTCGACCCAGGGTGACAGAGTGAGACTCTGTCTAAAAAACCCAAATTATTTGGAAACATAAGTTTTAACCATCTGTATATAGCACATCATGATACTTTATACCAGTTCTATGTTGTGGAAAGTATACAGCTACTTCTGACTTTTGCAGTTATATATAACACTCTGATGAAGATCTTTATACATAGATCTGTCATTATTGTCTCTGATTTTTTCCTTTGGATAAGAAATAGAATAATTTGATGAAAGGGCTGGGTGCAGTGGCTCATGCCCATAATCCCAGCACTTGGAAGGCTGAGGCAGGTGGATTGCCTGAGCTCATGAGTTTGAGATCAGCCTGAGTAAGAGTGAGACCCCATCTCTAGAAAAGGAGAAGGAGAAGAAGCTTCCAGGCAGTGTGTAGTCCCAGCTACTCAGGAGGCTGAGGCAAGAGAATTGCTTGAGCCCAAGAGTTTGAGGTTGCTGTGAGCTATGAGACTATGGCACTCTAGCACTCTATCCAGGGCAACATAGTGAGACTCTGTTTCAAAACAAAAACAAACAAAATTGATGAGAAGATATGAACTAGATATGAAAGGATGAAAGGACATGCACTCAAGCTCTTAAGACATATTACCAAGTTACTTTCTGAAAATTTGTGCCAATTTTTATTTTCCAAGAGCCCAAAAGTGATGGCATTCAATAGTTATGATCTAGCCAGGGCATATTATTGTTTAGATCTTGCCAGTGATGATATCCCACACAAGGAAAGGAAGGAGGAGATGGGGTTGCTTCTAAGCAGCCACGCTCATTGAGTGACACCTGTTTTGGGTCTAGAGGGACCTACATTCTTCCTCATAATCCTCCAAACAAGTGCCACAAAAAGATACTCTGGAGCACT